CTTCAGCTACAAAAATGTTTATATGAAGAAACAGTTCCTAAATTGGTTTCAGTTAATCGTATTTTGCTGCTCACATGAAAGAACCTGCCTAGGTGTAAGTTTTTTATAACCATTTTGAAGACCAAGAGGTATCAGCCTTCTCTCCAGAGGTTTTTCAAATGCCGTTGTAACCGTGACTAGGCCTCGTCTGCATCGGTGGAGAAGTAATACAGGACACAGCCAGAATTCCTGGAAACAAAAAGCCAGCTGCCCAATACCTGGCTTAATTTTCAAGAATCGTCTCGTCTGGTCTGTTACTGGCCACACACGTTCTTTCCCTGATCTTAGAGTGCCTCACTGGAGGCTGGTCCTAACGTGCCTGTCCCCATTTTGCGTCATTTTGTGTGTATTTCTCAGGTCTTCTTAATCCAACATGCAGCCTTTAAGATCGTCTACTGCTTTTCACATACTATAAACCTAAGTGGCAAAGCTGGTAGAATTAGAAATGAAAACAAGAGTTCTGACACAACCTGACATAGTCTTTTTGCCGTGCTGCCATTTTGATGAAAAGTTGCAGTTATGTGCTCCGTGAATTCACACCAAATGTGGATTTTTCTCTGGATGCGCAGACTGTGTGGATCATAAACAATTTTTAGAGTGTTCACTACTGCTTATGGAATTGGGCCTTTTAGCTCCAGTAGTTAAGGTGAGGCATTATCAACGTGCTAGATATCTTTAAACTCCTAATAAGATCGTGAGATTTGGCAGCATTAGAACTAAAGTTCGGATTTCCTTACGCTGACCATTTTACTTGTTCACAAAGAGAAGTGAAATGTAATAAAACACTGCATCTTCTTCTACAAGGTAATGATTTAATAGAATTCGGTGGTTTCCTTCAACTATTAATTGCAGAATTGAAGCCAGAACTGCTGTTGCTTCAAAACTATCTGCTAGGGGACAAAAGATATCGAAGTAAGTGTGATGACCTTAAAAGAATTGGGTACAATAAAATAGATGATACTCAGCAAGAAACATGGGCTTAGTATTAATATTTGCTTTTTCCTGGTTTTATTGTTTGTGTATGGGCTATCATGGAGCACGCATGACCAAGAATCTTGTCCAAATCTGTGGATTGCACGAGATTATTATAAAGTTCTTGTGTTGAAGAGCAGTGGGAAACTGCCCATACATGCTCCAAAGTATCAGAACTTGATTTTATAAATGCATCTTTTCAGAAAACAAGCTTAATTCTCAGAAGAATAACATTAGCACTCATTAGGGGACTGAGTGCTTTAGGGTACTGTTAATGAAATTCATAGCCTTTTGCCTGTGGGCTATCAGTTTGAATCCAGTCTAACTCAGTGGAGATTAAAAATTGGCCTATTTAATGGCCTTTTAGTCATCTCTAATGAGATGAGTTTGGTGGGTCTCAGTCCCATAACATAAACCATTCACACTGCCTTCTCCTAACTGGCAAGCCCCAGAGAACCCCCAAAATGTAATGGATTGTGGAGAAAATTAATCTCTGGTACCATGAAAAAAAAACCCAAACAAAAGCAAAAGCCTTGATTCACACTAGTTACATGAGCGCTAACAAACACGTTGTTTTTAAATGTGGAATTTATAGTGATATATGAAGTTTATAAATTAGCAAATTAGCTGAGCGCATGACATATGTTGCCACGCAGCTATACAGAATGTAACAAGACAAAGACTCCCGAAGGGGATATCTACACCTGTGCGTAAGATCACACCAACACATTAAATGTTTAAATATCCCTGGGATTCATTTCTATCAGAAAAAAACCCCAAAAACCTAGGATCAGAACAGATCTCTGGATAGTAACTGCAGTTACAGGAAATGATGCTGAAAACAATGATTGCCTCGTCTGCCTCCATTACTTCACAGCAGAGTCAAGTGCTTCTAATCTTCTCTTATGGATATTTAACTTAGTCTTAAAAAATATTAATGAAGTTTCCAAAACCCTCAAGAGAATATATGCCAGCTTTATTTATCCATATCATAGTAAAACTTTTCCTAATGTCTAACCTAAATTTCTTCCAGTGCAGTTTGAAACTGTTAATTTTTGCTCTCTCTGCAGTGGGTTTAGCGAACAGTGTATTTTTCTCCCTGTAGTCTTTTCTTCTCTAGACTAAAAAAAACCTCAAGCGTTTCTATTTCCAATTAGGGTCATGTCTTAAAAATTTGGATTTTTTTTTTTTTTTTCTCTTTGCTGTACTCCCTTCTATTGGGACTTTTTTGAAAGATTTTTTTTCTTGAAATGCAGAGCCCAAATCTGAACATGGCATTACAGCTGAGGCTTTACCAGTATAACATACAAGGAGAGTTTCTTCGATATGACACTTCTGTTTACACATCTCTCTGTACTGCAGCTGTTTACGCAGCAGCGTGACACTGTTGACTCACGTTCAGTTTGTGATCTACTCCAATCCCCAGCCCCTTTTCTGAAGACCTGGTGTTTATTCATCTGTTCCCAGTCTTGTAACTGGGCAATTGTTATTTTCCTACTTCAACGTCGAAGTTGGCACTTGCATTGATCCAATCGCATCCTCTTTCTGCAACCAGTTTGTCAAGGAACACTTTGAATTCTTTTCTTGTACTGCAACGTGCTTCCAGCTCTGCCAGTTTGGCATTGTTGGCAAATCCAATCAACGTAAACTGCGCTCTGTCATTCATGTAATTAGACTTGGTACCAAGCTCAGGACATACCCGCCTCCAAGGAAGTGTATTTGCTATATCCTGCTGGTTTTCACAGTGAAGCATTGCTGATGTAATTTTGCACCACTGGAGAGTCATTTCATTACGGTATGTCTTTTGCTCGCTCAATTAAGAGTTCTCTGAGATGGCGTCAAAAGCCTTACTTAAGTAACGCCGTAACAGATCTACCGCTAGTCCCATCCCAAGGCCCGTTGTACTGTCACAGCACGGGATGAGTTGGGCTTGATGTGAGTTTCTTGACAAATCCATGTTGGCTGTAACTTACCACTTCATTAGCTACCATGTACTTAAAAGATGTGTGATTATTTGCTTCAATACTTTTCTGGGAATAGAGGCTGGAATGACTGACAGTTCTTGGCTCTACCTATTCCCCCCCCCTTTTGAATTATGTGCACTGTTTTTTCTCTTCCCTCTCTCCTGAAATCTCAGTTGTCTTCGTGAGCTCACAGTGGTGATTGCTCACACCTCGAACGTCGCCTTAATCAACTTCTCCCTCTAGTGTGAAACCCCCCGGGCCTAGCAAATCTGAAGTAAAAAACCCATGTAATTTAGGAAAGTGGCATCTAACTTTACGCATTTACTGGATCCCCGCCCTTTTGAATGGGGGTTTGCCATCCAGAAGCATTCATCTGAGGTAAAAATGGCACCGAATGCTTCTGCTTTCCCGGTGCCACCTCACGGCTTCCCGCCCCCCCCGAGGGGCCTGACAGCCCCCGGGTCATCTCCTCTCTCCGCTCAGGTTTCCTCTTCCCCTCTCCCT